GCAGAGGCAGCCTGTGAAGCTTTGTCAAGGTGTGCTTTCCACTCTCAAACAGTTTAAAAAATAATTGGCTTTGACTGGTCTTCGACCCTCCAAATTCAAGAGCATTTAATTTGCAAGATCTGGTTTGAATCACATCAAATCAAATCTTTGAATAAGCGGCAGCGTTGGGATTTTTTTTTTTACAATAAAAGTGCAATGGAATGCTCTTACTCTGAATATACAGATTTCTAAGAGCCACTGATTAAAAAAAGACCAAAGCGTGTGAAGAACTAAGGCTGCTGCTGGCTTGTTGGAGCACAAAATAAACCCCTGTGCACTGTATCAGCTAACTGATCGGTGTCTGAGGGAAGGGACGCGCTGGGCTCGGCCGTTGCTGAAGCTTGTGGTTACAACGTTCAGCAAATGATGAGTTACTTTAGCTGCAAATAAATCGCCGGTGATGTAAGGGTAATTTTGTATATCAGCTTGTTTATTTATAAAGGCCCCGAGTTGTTGGGGCTTTTAAACATTTTTTCTGCCAGAAAACCAGCTGCTTGCAGAGCAGGGGGTAACAGGGATTGTGGTCTGTAGGTTGCACTCAGTCTTTTTCCTGAGCACCTTGCTTCTTATATAGAAGCAAATCTATAGGGAATCTAAAGGGAATCTGTGGATGTTGTTTTCCTGGAACTTTCCTGGAACATTTTTTTAGAGGGTTTCAGCTTTCTTTTGTTTTTTTATAACCAGGAGGGCACCAGAGGTGAGTGGAAGACCCGGGAGGCACCTCCAAGGCTGGGTTTGAGTCAGGGATACACATGGGAAGTCTTTGCCGCCGGGTTGATCTATTTTTATACCAAGGTGTAAGGAGAAAGAGGTTACGCTTGTGTCAGCATTGACTGAGGACCCATAATTAAATTGTTTAGCCTGTAATTAATTCCCTAGTTCTTATTTTATTTGTGTACTGTCATGCTTTGTTACATGCCAGGACATCAGGAATCCTCCCACTAATTGCTGTTTTGTGGTTTTGAAAGCTGCAATTTATTGGTTTGTAGACCTGGACAAACTGTTTAATTAAGATACGTCTTCCTGTTGCTTTTGAACTGCCAGCTCCCAGCAAAAGGGCAGAATTTCACCTTTTCTACATGAAAAGCCAGAGACTGGTGTAAAGCTCTTGCTGCACTACCATTAAGCAGTTTTCTCCCAGCCCTGCCTTGCCTCCCTCTCCCACCCACCTCATCTGAGCTGTGCTGGTTGATAGCAACTGGAAAACTGGAGGTATGCATCAAAACTTTATGGTCTGTCATCTCGAGGTATCATGAGAGATGGAGACTTGTGGAAGTGCAGCTACTGCTCAGGTGAAAGACAGCCAGAGTCCCAGCAGGGATGTCAATAAAGAGTCTTGTAAAGCCTTGGGAAGCTGGGCTAGGCACTAGGAAAACTGGTCTATGGGTCTTACTGCCCTCAAAGATGCTCCACATGTTGTGTCTGTCTTCTCTGGGTCATGTAACAGTTGTCTTTGCCCAATAAACTAAACCATATCTGCAGAAATGCTGCCTGTTGGGCATATTTAACAAAAGTGGTTCCTTCTTGAAATCCACTTTCACCACTGGACCCCGAGATGAGTGCAGGACATGGAGTTGTATCTGCAGGGGCCTCCAGACCTCACTTGTGATAACACAGACTGTGGCCAGTCATGAACGTACCCAGGTAGCTGGTAAAGACTCCCATTGCTCTGATCCCCGGTGGCACTGGAGCAGGCTACCAGGAGGCTGGGCTGTGCCCTCACCCTCCGTCAAAGGTAATTTCTAGTAGCTGAAAATCATAGGCTGTCCGAAAAATCCTCCCCAGCCCCAGGGGATGGGTCCAATAAACCATCCTGGGTGGAAGAGCTCATGGAAGTGGCCAAGGATCTTCATGCCCAGTGGCTTGATGCAAAAGGGATTCTTGCTGATGTCGGCCACCCCAACGCATCGTCTGGGCGGTGAAGTTGTTCTCCATGAAGGTTTTCAGTGCAGGAGAAGGGAAGGATTGTGTTGGTGCTGCGTTCTGGAGAGCTGCAGTTCCCAAATTTGAACAAGAAGAGGCTTGACACTTTCTTGGAGATGTAGGTGGTGAAGGACTTCAATGCCCAGGGTTATTGTGAAGAACCCAGTTTACTCACTTCTTCCCAAGCCCGGGTGTCACGACAGGAAGGGGTGTCACTGGTGATGGTGTGCTTTATACTGCAGATGTATGGGGCTAAAAAATCCACAGAAAACCCACAAAAACCCCAAAGGTAGCATCCCAAACCTAATCCAAAGGAAGTTAAAGCTGGTAGAAAGATACCTGTTGGAGGGAAGGGAGGTGAGGAAGAGGAAGGATTTCTTCTCCTTTTTTTTTTTTTTTTTTTTTTTTTTGTGGTGGGGTTAAGATTGTTAAATGTGTTTAAGTGGTGCACAAAGGTGTATTAAGTGTGTGGAGAGCACCCTGTTTTAGAAAGGATGCTTATACACGTATAGAAGTAGGGTAGTGGGTTGCTTTTGTATCTGAACTCAGTTTCCCCTGTGTCACTAAGTATTTTCACAGAAGTAATTTCCAGCTTATATTATCATAAATTCTTTCCAAATTCTGAAAAATCAAATTGTCTATGCATATATTTACTTATTTCTCATTCCCCCCTGTATTTGGGACTTCCATAAAATCCAAGTTTACCCATAATTAACAGCATTTTCTGCTTTCTCAGTATTTTACTGAAACAGAATGGGAGCAGCTAAGACAGTTGCTTGTCTCGGACAAATGGACTGGAATTAGGCTTTGAATTTGGGACCTGGTCAATGAAGCCCTAATAGGATCCAGAGACTTGGAGAAACATCTAGGTGTGGTGGGAGCTTCAAGTCTGGACACCGCATCATGAGTCTCACAAGAGCTTTGTGCCAGTGCATCCTGGCTTGGCCAGAGCATCTCTGCTGGCATGTATTTATATGTTCAGTCTTGACTGATAGCTAGAAGGATGGAGCATGTGAGTGTTAAAAAAGAAAAAAAAAACGAGGGGCTAAACTTGCTTTAAATGAAATGCCTGTTTTCTTTTATGTCTTGGATTAGGGAGCTGAAAGGTTGGTAACACAGATATTTTGATAGATGGGAAGAGTGGTCCGGTAGTTTGAATATTAAAGAGAGAGACAGAGTGTGCGTGTGTGTATGTTCCTCTTATTCTCGAGTGTAAGGAGCATTTGTCACCACAAATCATCCTTGATTGCAGAGAGCTGTATTTGTATAGGGCTCACCCACCCACCACCCTCAAAAAATTAGACATTTGTTATATGACATGAATTGAGATTAATTAGTGAATATTAACCCATCAAGCAGTACAGAAACACATTTTTGGAAGCAGCGGTACTTGAAGCAACAGTGGGTTTGTGTTAGTTCTGCTTGGAAAGTTTGCAACAAAATGTGGTGGTGGTGGGGTTGCTGGAAAATGCTGGTTTATCAAAACCAAAACTTTTATAAGAATAAACAGCTTTTCTTTGGAAAAAAATTAAGAAGTGCCTGGGCCCTGGAGAGGAGCTGCATCTGGGAAGGATGTTCCTCAACCCCAACTCTAACATGTTACTTGAGGAACAGAATTTGGGGTCACCTCGAGAAAGCTGCAGAAGCCGAAGGCTGGGCAGGGGTGGGGTTGTCAGAAAGGGTCCCACAGCTGCCTCTGCCTCCACTGGGAATGCGGGGCTGATATTTGGGAAATGTGAATGGTGGGAACCAGAGTCCCCCAAAGCACTGTTGGTTTGTGTCACAGTTCAGAAAAATATTGTTAAGCAAACAAGCAGGTCTCTAATAGAAAAGAAGTCCACAGAGATATTTTTCTGCTAAAACATGTGAAATAAGGGCAAATAGTTAGCAGGACCCCTACTAATGGGATACATGTCCATGGAAACAACCCAACCTTGTCTTATTTGATTAAAGAAAATAGTTCTGTCCTCTTTAAGAGCTCAGAGCTAAGCTGTCCTTCACAGCTCATTGAAATCCCTTGTAGTGTATTTCCATCGTACCTGCTAACCTCCATTATTTAGGAAGACTTTGTTTGCTGGCTATGTAAGGGGAGTTAAAACCAGCTCTGGGATCTACTGTTAGAAGAGACAGCTGTCAGTCAGCAGTGCCTGGTTGGCCAAGACAAACTGGTAGCCCGGTGCAAGGACATGTTTGACTTAGTAGATCAAAATGTCGGGAGAAGAATCACTATGGGAGTTGGGTACATGGCCAACATCTGGAAATACTGGTATTTCTTTGCATCAATACGTTTCTGATTGTGGCAGCAGATCCTTTTGCAAGTAAAAGAAAATTAGCTTGATTATTTTTCTCTTAAGAATCACATCTTTGTCTCGGTATAAGAGTAGCTCCTTGACTTGCAGAAACTTCTTGGCAGATTGATGCAAGCAAAGCTGAAGGGCTGTCGCGGCGAACAGAAGCCTGGCATTTGGTATTGACCAGGGCTGCGTTGCTAATCATCATGCTTTTCTCATCCTCAGCTAGTGCCAATATCTGCAATGTTGTCCTGATGAGGCACACAGAGCTGGAAGAAGGAATTGATGTTTTGGACAATAACGGAAACATTGTCGGGTCTTCCAGAATTGCTGCAAAACACGTATGTACCTGTGATGTTCCTGGCAAACACTTGGGAGAACTTGTACACAAATGGCCTTCAGGCTCAACGAATCCCACACAGTAGGAATCAATGACTTGACCTAGAAATAGATAAGCTTTACCCATCATCCAGGAAGAACGAAGTGGCAAAACTGAATGCCTGCTTTGTACCCATGCGTGCGGTTGTGTAGCCACAAACCCGAGTGTGCTGGGGGACACAGGCTCGTGTCATGCAGGCAAATTCGGTGGCTGACCTTGGTGGTTTGGAAGGGTGCAGACTGACACCAGGAAGATCCTGTACTACTCTGATACATTCACAGCCTTAGGATTTCTTTGTGGAAACTTGTAAGCAGTTCATGTTGAATACGAAGCAAAGATAACTTACACCTTTTTCTAAATGAGGAAGCCTTCATTTTCGAGACGAGTAGCTTTTTAACCCTTGCCATATCAAAACTGCATTAACAATTGCTGACTAAAGCTTTGTGAGGGTAGCCAGATGTTTTTATCCGTGTGTTAACACCTGGTTTGTTTTCCTCTGTAACCTTCTACTCTCTGCCATCTGCCTGCAATTATTCCCTTTTCTTCCCTTCTTAACATAGTTTTGTCTTCTGAGCATCATCTGATTGTCTGAGGCATGTTGTTTCCAAGTGGGCTTTCATCTGAAATGTAAAGCATGTTCCGAAGCACACGCCCAGGCAGAGGAGTTAATAATATAATGTTTGGCATTTCTCTCGCTCCTTCTGTCCAAGGCTCTTAAGGCACTTCATAGACAGCAATTAATGTACAGATCTACAGTCCTCGGCAAGAAATGGGAGATCTCTAATATCTCTCCATATTGTTGTTTAACAGGGAGCTTAAAACAATCTGTTGAAGGGCTCAGAGATACTTATTTGAGCCAGTTTTCCTCACTTATATTAACTGGCTTCAGGACCCAGCTTTGCTTCTCCATCCTAATAGTCAAGGGGAAGACAGACAACATAGAAAGTAAATATTTAAAGTGAAGGTACTGTAAGTGTGCTTTAGGTGGAGTTTAAACATGGAATTTGGGACTTCTGAGAACTTCTGCTCAGCTGCCATCTAATCCCAATGCTTCCTCCCGAATAGCTTAGTACTGGGTTTTGTTGTGTAAAATTTGGCAGATCCTTAGTTAACACATCTGTGCTTCTCTGAGACCTTCTCCCAGTTTGGAAGGATCAAGTGCTCTCAAGCCTGGCCATATGCATAAGTGTCAGCATTCCCATCCAAAATCCATAGTATCCTCTGCCTACATCTGCCGAGGCCCCACGGGTGGTCATAGTGCTTGGGCGTGCATCCCACGTGGGTGTTGGCAAAGATGGTTGGAAGAGGTAGATGAAGCCACAGTGGTGGTTGTACACCTTGCTAGAGCACCCGTGATCTTCTCTACGTCTCATCTCGGGGGATTTATACGTATCGTGCTGCCAAGCTGTTCTGCTTGCTGTTTCCTGGTGAATCTTGCCAGGGAGAAAGCACCAGCGGAGGGACGTAGCTCCACAGTTGGGTGTCTTCCTGGGAGAGGAGAGCCCTGTGTGTTAGGATGCTTTGCAATAAACCACCAGTGATTAGAAAACAGAAACAAGTCTTGGAGCAGGCAATTAGATGCTGCGTTCCCCCAGCACATAATTGAAAGTTAAGGGAGGAAGGGTTGAAGCTGCTGCTCAGCCCATACCGAGATATTTCACTTTACAGCATCTTCCAGGCAGTTGTGTGGCCTCTCTTTCTTCCCCCAGGCAGCCCTAACATGTTTGTGTAGGAATATGACGGTATGTTGGAGAACTTCTGGTCACATAAAGCAAAATCAGGGAAGCTATTAGGCGTCTCTGTTTATTCCACTGCATTTATGACCAAGCGTGGGCTCCAGCCCATCGTTTGTAGCGATGGAGGGAAAATAGGTTGTATACAAATAGCTGATAGCAAAGTTGAAAGTGTGTGTTGATACATTCATTCACATATGCAACACAAGAAAGGCCAGCCAAACCAATTCTCTGCCCACGCGTTGATTGCTCAGCACAGGTACATCCTGAGATTTGTTTTAAATGTCTTGGGTTTTTTTGTTTGTTTTTTCTTTTCAGGCACTGCTAGAAACGGCCCTGACTAGAGTGGTCCTGCCAATGCCTATACTGGTTCTACCTCCAGTTATTATGTCCATACTGGAAAAGTAAGTGTTGGGTAATATGAAGAGGGGGGCTTTTCAAAGGGAAGGCAGAAAAGATGCTCGGGAGGTGTTATCCATTGCTGTTTCTTAGCATTGGTCCATCAAAGAATTTTTTTTGCTTAATAAAATGTTCATGTTCCAGTATTTTTGACCACTGTTGTAGGCTTTTAAAGTGTTATATTGATGTTGTTATATTGATTTGTTATTCAAACACAAATAGCAGTTTGAATAACCCTGTTTCTGTAGGGTCAGTGTGAGCCAAAGCACTCTGAATTCAGTGGAAAAGTGTCCATAATTTTTCAGTCCTCCATTCAGCAAACATTAATGCTGCCGCATGGGTCAGACTAAAGGTCTCAGCTGGTGAGATAGGGAGTGTGGACTTGCTGGCCACGTGGTGCATCTATTCCACCTTGGCCACTGTTGGTCTTGCGCTATTTGAACTCACTCGTGCTTTATTTCGGTAATGTCCTGTGTCTTGGACTTCCCCAGAAGGGTATAAGTTTCACATATTCTGCAGAAATTTGCTTTCCATCACTGTTTAAGCCAGAATCTCTCCTGGATGTCTCCGGGGAGCATCAGCACGAGGAGAGTGGGCAGGAAAGGGCAGGGTTATTATTTCATATCTAATTATCTCCTATCAGAGTTCTTAATAGCAAAAAAAGCCCCAAACTGCCCTGTCCACTGACCATTCTCCCATCTGGCTTTCCAGCATCTCCTCTTCTGCCTGTGGCTCCTTAGGGCACCCAGCAGCGGCTCGTTTGGCGTGACCGATCCGTGGGGTGGGGATCACCTCCCCAAGCCCTGGAGACTGATCAGTGCATTGAAAGATGGGGGTGCTAAAGGGTTTGCTACCTTTGTCCAAACAGCCAAGCTTGGAAGCACTCTTTAAACAAATCTGTTGATAATGGCTGCTCTAAAGCACTCCGCTGACAAAGTAAATAGCAATTAGTACGATTAGGGGTTGACCCGTAACTTCCGTTGGCCTTGTTTACCCTTGTAGAAACACCCCTGGGCAATTTTCTCTCCTTAATGGAAGGGTCAGGGCTGCTTTTGTAAATTTGGAGACTGATTTTTAACATCTGAATGAAAAAATATAGATATAGTCTAAGTACCCCTCTAGCACCAGAGGCTCTCGCCAAGATCGGTTCCTCCCATGGTCTGGGTGTGGGGGGAAACAGGGCAACAAACTCTGTTTTGGCAACTCTAAAGTAACTTCTCTTTCAGCCCTTTTTGGCCAAAATACACTCTTTTACTCTCTTTTGCAAAGGGACTGTGGTGATTCCCTGTGGCAGGGCACAGTCTTGGTAACATTCTCTGCAAGCCACTGTTTGGAGTCAGCTGCTGGAGACACACAAGGACACGGGGCAGATTCCAGTCCCCCTAATTTTGTGCAAATAATTTGATTTTCACTTCACTTCCTTGACAAAAGCTCTGCAGCCTCTTTCCTGCTCCAAGTCCCTCAACACCTGATCTACCAGCAGGAGAGATGCCCAGGAGTGACCATGCCTCACTCTGGAGTATCATACTCAGGGCTTGCTCCAAGTGGTGTGTAACGACAGGGATTGTCACTTATCTTTGTGTCCCAGCGTCTTGGCAGCTTCCTTGCTTCAAATTCAGATGCGTGATTCCGGCCTTTATAGTCCCAGCAAAGCTGCTTTGCTGTTGTCAGTTGAGAGGACTTCTGTTTTCATCTGTCCACTTGCCAGACACTTCAGAAATGCCACCGATTTGTGACGTTCTTACCGCAGAGCTCTTTCTTCTCGCCTTTCTGTCACACTGAGGCTTTGCACCGAAGGGGCTACCTGTGTTACTGCTGGCTTGACACGGGCACTGGTTCCCTCTAACCCTACCTTGGTGATGAGCTCATCCAAGAAAGATCACCCCAGAGGACAAACTATTTTGCTGCTGTAATTCAGAGGATCTTTGTTATTCTGGTTATCATCTTGAACAAACAAAAATCTTTATGTGCAGAAACTCAAAGTTTGTAGAAATCCGGTCTCTAAATTATTGTCTCCAACAGGAAACACTGAGGACCATCGTGGGTCTTGCTAAGCGTCCACAAGCTTTAAATAAAACTAACAATAATATTTGCTTTGTACTTGGGGGCATCATAACTTCTTGTATTGAGATGAGTTTTACTAAATACACCTGTGCTCTGTGCGAGACTTATCAAACCTAATTTTCTCTGTCAAACAAATGTTGACATAAAGGAGTTTGTCTTCAAAAAATCATAATTTTAACTAATAGAAAGACCTTATTCAGGTTTGCAAGCGGTGTTCCCCAGGGCTCGGTT